TAAGGTTTTTTCTGTGTTTTCTTTGGTCTGTCTCTCAATCCTTTGAAGATACCTAAATATAATTCTTTTGAATTCCTTATCAGAGAGTTCCAGTGCTGCTTCTTCCTCAGGGATGTGTTCTGGGTCTGTATCCTGCTCCCTTGTTTCTACCACTTTCTCCTGCTTTGTGTGGACTGTGATGGTCTGTTGTCTCTGAGGCATCGTGACATTGTTATATTTAGATCTCTGTTAACTTTTTGTGAAGAGCAGCCAAGGGTGATTCCAGCTCTTCTTGGTGTTTTTTTATCATTGGCCCGTTGGTAGAGAAGGAGGTAGTGGCTGTCTGTCGCTCAGTAAGTGAAGTTGCAGGAGGTATGGGTATAGTTTTGTCTTATGGGGACTGTTGTTGTCTCCCACTGAATTAGACACAAATTACAATTGAATAACCTTCAAAATCTAAAAGCACATGGACAAAAAACACGCCATGTAATCATACAGGAACAGTAGCCAAAAAAAGGAAAAAAGAAGAAGAAAAAACAACAAATATCTGGGGATAGAGCATTAAGAGAAAAAAAGTAGAAAAGGAGAATAATGAAGGGGAAAAAAATGGGAAAAATGCAAAAAGAAAAAGAAGGAATAGGGTTAACCACGAGAAAAAAGGGGAGAAAAAACTAAAAAAAGAAGTTTCACCCAGGAACAGGGAGAAGAAAAAATGCTGAAAACTAGGACCTGGGAGGGGAAGATTAAGAAAAATAGTAAAAAGGACAAAAATATTAATAATAATAGTTGTTTTAAAACAAATACAAGCAAACTAATCACCAGAAAAAGAAAGCGAAAAATAAAAATAAAAAATCGGTGGTGGACAGGGCAGGGCACCCAGGTTCCATCTGAGCACACAGAGTGTTATGGAGTTCCTGTGGGCCCAGAAGGTAGGTGGAAGTTGGGGATGGCTGCACCTCCGTTCACCAAGCGGGTGTGGGGTATACGAGTAACAAGAGGAGTGTCATACCTTTTCAATCTTGCAGGTCAGGAGAGTCCTTGGGGTTGCTGAAAAGCAGAACATGTTCTTAAGCCCCAGGAATCTGCAAGAGCGTTGTCTCTTTAATTATCCAAAATAGTCAAGCTGCTTTTAGACCTTCAAAATGGCAGCGTCCTCCGGACCGGCAGAAGTCCACAGCTCAGCCCGCCTTTCTCTTCACCTTCTCCATTTATTCCCCAGCCACCGGAGCAGTTCTCCATGCAGTCCCAGGCTGGCAGGGCTGATTTTTAGGTTAATTCTTAAGTCCTACCCACACTCGGGAATCTCCAAGCTGTCAGGATCACTCAGGGTCGCTGCCAGACCGCAGCTCCGTATGTCTCCTTTTTTGGTATTTTCACGCAAATTTTTCTGCTAGTTGGGGTTTAGTCCATTTATATATCCTTGCGTTCAAGGCTCAGGGGGCCAGGATTATCTTCTGTGTCTGTGTTAATAGGTTTCCCTTTTGTTTGTTGAAGAGGGTCTGTGCAGTCTTTCTGCCTAGTCTGCCATCTTGCTGAAACTGTTACTGTTGTTTTTGTGACTTGCCCAATTGGTTTAACTAATCTGCACCAGTCTCATTTTAAAATAGGGATTAAAAATCCCTCTTCCCCATATAGCACTGTGAATACATAAGGAACAAATGATAGTGTAAAATTCTTTTAACACTGTAATTTTTTACTTATACATATTTTCTTAGTGACTTATACAAATTTTTACTTAAAGTAAAAAGAATTAACATAAACAGGTACTCAAAAACAAATAGTGATTACTTTTTAAAATACCATAAAAAAGAGATGTCAGTCTATGTATCTGATACAGTGTTTTCAATTTTAGTGCTTATACAACCTGGAAAAAAATGAGCAAACTGAGTATTTTTAGAAACTTTTGGTAAATGTTTAGTAATAATTGGGAATTAGTAAAAATTGTAATATGGAAGTTTAAGAATTAGGCATGTTGATAAAAATTTCATTTGATAATTATAGAAACAAAATAATTTTCTTGGTTAAAAACTCCTTTTGTAATGTATTCATTTTGACTTATGTTTAATCAGAAATAAAGTGTTTGACTTAGTAATAATTTAATGATGGTGTTGGATCCATAAATATTTGATAGTAAAATTTTTTCAAGGTAAGTTGATAGTTTCAGAATATTATTGGTTGGTTGTCACTATCATATAGTCATTGTTTCCATCATTCATTGCTGTGGATTTTTTATTTGAAGTATGCCCTCCACTTAACAAAAACTGCCAAAATCAATTATTGTAATAGTAGATTCAAACCTGAGGTTTCTAACTTCCCCAGCTATTAAACTACCTTAGGGAAATAAAGCAGATATGACAAATGGCATTTTTCCTAAATGATACCTGCCTAAGGAGGTCTGGTCTCATAGTGGTTAAAAGTGATAGGCTGCTAGCCAAAAGGTCAGCAGTTCTAATCCACTAGCTGCTCCATGGGAGAAAGATGAGGCAGTCTATGTCCATAAAGATTTATAGTCTTGAAAACCCTATGGGCCATTTCTGCTATGCCTATAGGGTCACTGTGAGTCAGAATCAACTTGATGGCAGTGAGTTTGGTTTAGAGTTAAGAACCAGTAAGGTACACATTTATTATTAAAATCTTTTCATTATTTATGTGTAGCTTTATGGCCAAAGACCCCAATAAACATAAACTCTAAGCCACTTTAGATTGTTTTCCTACATAATTGTAATCTAAATGCCATTAACATTAATATACATCATTAATATACAATAAAACCAAACTCCGTCTAGTCAATTCCGACTCAAAGCAACACCCGTTGGGTTTCCAAGGCTATAAGTCTTTACAGAAGTAGATCGCCTCATCTTCCTTCTGCGGAGTGGCTGGTGGATTTGAACTGCTCTGGAGGTGTGGTGCCTAAGGCATTTATTTGACTGCTAACCAGAAGGCTAGTGGTTCAGACCTACCAGCCATTCCTCAGAAGGAAGATTGGTCAATCTACTCTGTAGTGATACTGTCTCAGAAACCCAAGGAGGGGTCGCTATGAGTCGGATGGGACTCAGCAGCAGTGAGTTTGGTTTGTTTTGGACCTTCTGGTTAGCAGTCAGATGCCTTATCCACTGTGCCACAAGAGCTCCTTATAATATAGTTATAAGTATTATATAACTACATAATACATGTAGTTACATGCATTCTGTAATTGTATTAATATATATATTAATATACATGAATGGATATCAATATAGTTCCTATTTTTAAGAATTAAAGCCTCTACCATCATAATGCTGTACTACTTTGTTTAGCCATTTTTCCTTTTTTTTTTTTTTTTTGTCACTTCTGTAGCTTTTCTGCAATTAGAAAAAAAGGGACCACAAAAACATCACTTGGAACCACCTCCAATAGCACCTAGGAAAAACTACTCTTTCACAAGAGAAGAGGTGAGACAGATTGATCGGGAAAATCAGAGGCTTTTGAAAGAACTGTCCAGACAGGCTGAAAAACCAGGAAGCAAAAGTACAATTCCTAGAAGATCAGTTGGTCATCCCCCTAAGTTATACCATAGTGCACTCAACAGACAGAGGGAACAACAAAGAATTGAAAGAGAAAACTTGGTAAGTAACTGATCTTAGTCATTAAAGAAAATGAATTTGCAATGATTTGTAAGTCCAACTTACAGGAAACTTAAATACAGCCGGTATTTCAGACTTAATTATGTAAAAGCAGATATAAATTTGTCTGACATAATATACATGATGTTTTAGCTATGAACCTGGAAAGTACAATATGTGTTTTTTTTAATCCAGTAGACTATTTTGAGAGAACATTTTAAAATAAAACAGGGAGAGTTCCTTTGTTTATTTAACCAGATCAGTTAAATCACTACAGTAGTGGGGCATATATTATCCCAAGATCGGATACACTATATGTTCTATGAAGTATTCAATCAATAGTTAAATCTAACTATTTCACTTGATTGTGTCTTTGGAAACGATACTATCATTTATTTTCAAGGATAACGACATACTGTGGAAGAGGTCAAGTTTGGTGGATATGTTACTGAAGTTATGAAAGACATTGAAAATCATGTAGTTACATTTTGATAAGCTAAAGGAATATACATGGGGACTATTTTAAAAGATTGTAGCATGTAATTTACTTTATAAATTGCAGTTCATAATAATCACTGGTATTTACTGAGCTCTTACTAAATGCATTGTTAAAATGTCTACCACATATTAGGTTTTTGTAACCTCTCAATTCTTTGTGATAGGTGCCATTTTTATCCATATCTTATAGATGAAAAAAAACCTAGCCTTGTTGTTGTTGTACAACTTCAATATTTGCTTCATTATAGATAGGTGCCATTGAGTTGGTTCCAACTCACAGTGGCCCTGTGTACAACAGAACAAAATATTACCCAGTCCTGTGCCATCTTCACAATTGTTTGAGCCTCTAATGTTGGAGCCACTGTGTCAGTCTATGAGGGTCTTCCTCTTTTTTGCTGATGCTCCACTTTACCAAGCATCAATGATGTCCTTCCCCAGGGACTGATAATATGTCCAAAGTACACAAAGTGAAATCTCACCATCTCACTTCTAAGGAACATTCTGTCTGTACTTTTTCTAAGGCAGATTTGTTCATTCTTCTGGCAGTCCGTGATATAATCAGTATTCTTCCTCATCACCATAGTTGAAAGGCATCAGTTCTTCTTAGGTCTTCCTTATTCATTGTGCATCGTTGGCATGCATATGAGATGATTGAAAATACCTTAGTTTGGGTCAGGCACACCTTAGTATTCAAAGTGACATCTTTGCTTTTTAACACTTGAAAGAAGTCTTTTACAACAATGCATTGTGTTGTTTGATTTCTTGAGTGTTGTTTCCATGGGCGTTGATTGTGGATCCAAGTATAATGAAGTCCTAGACAACTTCAGTATTTGCTTCATTTATCATGATGTTGCTATTAACCTTTTGTATTCTCAATTCTTTGAGATAGGTAGCATTTTTATCCATATCTTATAGATGGGGGTGGGCAGCCCTGGAGGAGTTAAATTATTAGACCAAAGACACAGAGTAATGAGTAACTAAATTCCCAGGTAATCTGGCTTCAGAAACTTTGGCTTTAAACTAAAATTGAACCCTAATGAATATACAAATTCAGAGTTCAAATATTTTATAAAGCTAATAAAATTAACACACCTTCTAAAATCAATTCTCAATATATTTCAGTGGTAGAACTCTTCGTGGCACACTGGTTAAGCATATATCTGCTAACTGAAAGGTTGGCAGTTGGAACATATCATCTACTCTGCAGGACAAAGATGTGGCAGTGTGCTTCTATAAAGATTACAGCCTTGGAAACCCTGTGAGGCAGTCCTTCTCTGCCTAACGGGTTGGTATGAGTCAGAAGTGATTGACAGAAATGTGTTTTTATATTTCATTGTGGAGTCCCTGAGTGGTGTAAACAGTTAAGTGCTTGAATACTAGTTGAAAGGTTGGTGGTTGGAATTTACCCAGAGTTGAGTTCAGAGAACAGGCCAGGTTATCTGCTTCTGAAAAGTCACAGCCTTGAAAACCCTATGGAGCAGTTCTGTGCTGCACACATGGGGTCACCATGAGTTAAATTCAACTTGACAGCAGCTAACAACAATAGGTAACAACAAAGCAAGTTGAAGTGAGGTTGGTGTGATAGCTTTGTGCATATCACAAAAGTATTCAAGATTCATTCATTTTAATTAAAGTTTTTATATTACTGTGTGTTACAAATATTTGGGTTTAGTTTTGAAAGTTTAAACTGTTAATGTCAAGCATCTGTTCATATAAAAAAACCAAACTCACTGCCTTCGAGTCAGATCCAACTCATAGTGACCCCTTCTTGGGTTTCCGAGGCAGTATCAAGACAAGTAGGTCACCCAATCTTTCTTCCAAGGAGTGGCTGGTGGGTTTGAACCACCAGCCCCCTGGTTAGCAGTCAGATGCCTTGGGCACTACGCCACTAGAGCTCCTATCTGTTCTTACAAGAATGTTGTTGTTGTTGTTATGTACTGTGGAGTCAGACCCGACTCATAGTGACCCCTCCTTGGGTTTCTGAGGCAGTATCACTACGGAAGTAGGATTGCCCAACCTTCCTTCCGAGCCTTCTGGTGAGCAGTCAAGTGCCTTAGGCACTATGCTACCAGAGCTCCTGATACGTTCTACAAAATAAGTGAACCTTGATGCTGAGTGAACTAAATTGGTCACAAAAATGCAAATACTAGATGAATTGACTTATATGAAATAATCTAGAACAGGCAAATGTATACAGAGTTAAGATTATCAGTGGCTTCCCAGGTACAGGTTGGAGGGAGGGAGGTAAGGGGACTCACTTCTTAGGAGACATACAGCTTCTGTCAGGGCTGATGGAAAAAGTTGTAAACCAAATGCTGATGGTTTAACAATATGATGAAATACAGTTAATGTCACTAAATTGCATGTAAAGAATGTTAAAATGGCAAATGCATGTTATAAACATTTACCACACACACAGAAAAGAATAATTAAAAAAAGGCCTAATTCATACAGTAGTGAAAAAGTAATTTAAAGCTAAACATGAAAATAATAAAACATTTATTACGTTATTGTGAAGAAAGTTAATCTTCCAGATTTATGTCTAAATCAAAATCAAGCTTATCCTGTATCTTTTAAAAACTTTCCATGACTATTTTCATGACAACTTTGTTTCTTCTATTTGTTAAAAAAAATTCTCGTTTATTTTCTTTGGAATTATATTAAACTTACATTTTAATTGGAGAATGGTTTACATCCTTAAAATATTACTTTCCTATCTAGAAATATAGTATGTCTTCCCATTTATTCAAACCTTCTTGTACTCTACCTAAGGTTTGGTAGTGTCCTTCAAAACTATAAATTGTTAACCTACTGTGTGTAAAATTTTCTTCATTACATTTTCCAAATGGTTACTTCTGGTAAGTATTAATTTTTGTATATTTCTTTTATAACTAGCCACCTACTAAACTCTTTATTAGGAGCCATATTGGCTAATTCCTAATTCTTCATTGTGAGCTGATAGACTTTTTAATCTACTTGCTAGTTTGTTTATATTTAAAACACACACACAGGCACACACAGATAATTTTGTAGTCAAGTCGGCCTCAGAAGTGACATCCATTTCTTTATAATTTTTATGATTTGTGTTCTTTCATTTGCTGCCTCTCCAGTGACACAAATGGACAGATTCAAATGGCTAATAGGCATGATGATACAGTAGTTCACTTCTAGAACTCTTATATTACCTTGGTAGCAATTCAGAGTCTGTGATAACTCCAGACAAAGTACTGTTGTGCAGAGGAGGTGTACATGGAAAGAATAGATACACAATTTAGTTCTGTGCTCAAAAGTTAAAAGTATATGGTTTATCTGGTAAAGTTTGGTATTCATATTATTTGGTTTTCATTAGATCCAAACAAAATAATGAGAATAATAAAGAAAAAGTTAGTTTTATCCAGTACAGGATGTGCTTACTCCCTATGTTGTTGTTGTTATGTGCCGTGGAGTCAGTCCTGATTCATAGCGACCCCTCTTTGGGTTTCTGAGGTGGTATCCCTACAGAAGTAAGTTGCCCAACCTTCCTTCTATAGACAGTTATTTTAGAACTTTACTACTTCCGAAAAAGAGGGCTAATTTTTAGTTCATCAGGTTTGAAATATTATTAAGCAATATCTCTTTATCTTTTTGTGAATGTAAGATAAAATTTACTTTTTGAAAGAGCATCTTAGAATAATCTTAGCAGAAAGGGAGAGGTTAATAAGGACATTTACTTTATAGTCTTACTTTATTCTCTAAGAAGAAAGGAGATTATTTCATTTTTTTAAATGTGGGTCAATTTCCTCAGCCCTGAAAGAAAGCAGGGTGGTGTAATTGAAGCAAGGTTAGGGAAGAAGTAAGATAATAAACTTCCTGGACAATGTATCAAGATTAGGCCTGTTAGTTGTCGTCTAGTCATCTCCAACTCATAGTGACCAGTCCTGTGTCAGCCTTACAATCCCTACTATACCTGAGCCCATCATTGCAGCTACTATGTCAGTCCATCTTGTTGAGAGCCTTCCCCTTTTTTGCTGTCCTTCCACTTTACCAAGCATGATATCCTCCAAGGAATGGTCCCTTCTGACAATATGACCAAAGTAGGTGAAACAAAGTCTGGCCATTCTTGCTTCCATGGAGCATTCTGGCTGTACTTCTTCCAGGACAGATTTTTTACTTCTTTTAGCAGTCTAGAAGAGTACTTTTAGCAGTACTCTTAGCATTCTTTGCGAACACCACAATTCAAAAGCATCAATTCTTCCTTATTCACTGTCCAGCTCTCCCATGCATATGAGGTGATTGAAAATACCATGGCTTGGGTTAGCCACACCTTAGTCTTCAAGGAGACATCTTTGCTCTTCAGCACTTGAAAGAGGTTTTTTGCAGCAGATTTGCCCAATGCAATATGTCATCTGATGTCTTGAATGCTGCTTCCATTGGTGTTGATTATAGTACCAGGAAATATGAAATCTTTGACATCTTCAGTCTTGTCTCCATTATCGTGATGCTGTTTATTGGTCCAGTTGTGAGGA